TCACTCGTCAAACAAAATCATCTCACGAGAGAGGGAACATAAGCAAACGGCAAGCTGAAGAGTTTTCTGAGATTGTTGTTGACGAGAACTCTTAGCGCAAAGTAAGAGGATTTTCACTAACCACACATGATCATCCCAATTAAAAAAAAATTAGTATAAGACAGCACACCCTAGCATTTAGAATTTAATTTAAAATTAGAATTTTCTAAAATTTTCTTCATAAATGTTGGGTACGTACTTTCAGCAATATTTTCCTTCGACGGTTCCCAGTGAATATTGTATTTCAAGTACTTGCCATTAATTTTCTCCTCTGTTCTGCTGAAAGTTGCAATTAACTTTTTAATGGGCTTGAACGAGTTGGAGGCCCAAGACTAAAGATGACAGTGTGCTTGTGACTATGGGCCTAATCCATAAGCTGCGGGCCTCACTCATAACTTCAATTCAAATCCACATTGAATAAATCCAGGAAAAGAGGGACCCATTTAATAAATGGCGAATCCTATTCGAAACAGGGGAACCCTTTTTGGTCTTCTTTATGAAATAGTGAAGCGGTATCTTTTTAGTCTTCTTTATCAATAGCATTTAAATATGGATTGATTCTATACCATTTTAATGAATCCCGTCGCTTCATCAAGACTCCTTAATTATAGTAAAAATTCAGGGTTATAATTTTATAATCTAAGGGGGTGTTTGGTTCATCAAGACTCCTTAATGACATGGCGAGTTATTTGAGAGATTTTCAGTTTGGGGTGGGAGTCTCAGGAGGGGCAGAAACAGTTTTGCATGCGGTTAATAGGTTCGTTGATGTCCACCATGCGGATGACTCGCTCTCCATGCTTTTGGTCGACTTTCGGAATGCATTTAACTTGGTCGACAGGAGTAGTATGTTGCGGGAAGTACGCCTTAAGTGTTCGGCGATCTCTCCTTGGGTGGAATTTCTATATGTGCAGCCCGCTAGGCTGTATTTGGGGGTGGATCACATTTAGTCTGCTCGGGGGATCCAGCAGGGGGACCCGCTAGGGCCTCTGTTGTTCGCACTCACGCTTCACCCGTTGATTCTACGAGTGCAGGAAGAGTGCAAGTTGGATCTTCATGCTTGGTACTTGGACGATGGGTCCTTGATCGGGGATACTTTGGAAATTGCTAAGGCATATAAGGTGATCGAGACTGAAGGCCCAAGACTCGGGTTGGACCTCAATGTAACCAAAACTGAAATATTCTGGCCCTCACCGGATCCTAGAAGTTTACTGGAGGGGCTTTTTCCCTTGAATATCAGTCGGCCTCGTGATGGAGTAAGGCTTTTAGGTGGAGCAGTTAGCATGGATGAGGGGTTTGTTGGTGGGTTAGCAGCAAAGAGGGTGGCAAAGGCGACTCAGTTAATGGAAGCGTTGGACCAGCTTAGGGATCCACAGTGCGAGCTCGTCCTTTTGAGGGCTTGTGCGGGTTTGTCCAAGTTGTATTTCGCCTTAAGGACTTGCCCGCCACAGCTCTTTGGAAAGGCCGCGACTCAGTTTGATATTGCGCTTCGGAGGTCAATTGAGAGCATTGTCACATTCGAAGGCCCAGGCTTCGGGGATCTCCAATGGAAGTTGGCCTCTTTACCTATCAAGGCAGGCGGGTTAGGGGTCTATGCAGCGGCTGATGCCATACAGTTTTCTTTTGTGGCCTCTCGGATTCACTCCATCGAGCTCCAAGACCACATTTTGAGAGGTTGTGGTGAGGTCTCTTTAGGTGAGCATTTTACTACCGCTCGGGCCTCTCTTCAAGCCAAGCTACCTGAGGTTGATCTTCTTCAAATCACCACTAAAGGGTCTGTCCCCCCAAAACCAATGCGTTATTTGGCAGACATCTTTTATGGTGGCGTTTGTAGAGATTTATCGACAGAGTTTGACCTTTCAGAGAGGCAGGTTGCGATTGTTGAGTGCCTGCGGGCAAAGCACGACCAAGATTTCTTGTTGGCCACGCCTATTGAGGGTTTGGGGGCAGCGTATGACTCCGGGGGAATACCAGGTCATCCTTAGGTACAGGTTGTTGGTTCCTTTATTCGTGGAGGGGACAGTGTGTCCAGTTTGTCGTAGGACGCAGATGGATGCTTTTGGAGAGCATGCCATCCATTGTCAGAAGCAGCCGAGGTTCAAGTACAGGCATGACTTAGTCAGAGATGTCTTGTATGATATCCTCCAGAGAGCAGGGATCCCATCAAAGAAGGAAGCGCCGGTCAACTTCCTCACTCCTCCTGGAGAGACTAGATCTACTCTAAGGCCGGCAGACGTTCTTGTCTACAGTTGGAGCGGGGGGAAGCATGCTTGTGTTGATCTTACAGGGGTGTCTCCGTTGGTGGGGTTTGGTAATGGAGAGTTCAAGGTTGGGCATGCAGCGGATAGAGCGGGAGAGGCCAAGGTGGGCAAACATGATCAAGCTTGCAAGGACAACCACCACAGCTTCATCCCGTTCGCTTTCGACACGTTTGGTTTCCTTGCAGCTGATGCGGTGGAGTTCCTCAGGAGGGTTCAGAAATTCGCGAATAAGAATGTGACGACAGCAGGGTCCGCTGAGTATGTGTTTCGTAGGTTAGGTTTTGCAATTCAGAAAGGATTAGCGGTGCAACTTGTTGCCCGCTTGTCATCATCACATGTGTAATATTTTTATATTAGTAATAATAAAAGTTATAGGAAATGTTTTCCACCTAAAATATGATTTCCTTATATTTCTTAAAAAAATTATAGGAAAAGTTTATATGATTTCCTTATATTTCTTAAAAAAATTATAGGAAAAGTTTTGAGAAATCAAAAAGTACCAATTTTTTTATTTTTTGTACTTTGCTTGTTTGGTTCAAAACAAGAAAATAGCTCATAACTTTATAGAAAATAACAAGATTTGGTAGGTTTTTAATTAAATATGGTATGTATCAGATTTCTGGTGATTTCCTCTCATTTTGAGAGGAAATTGCTTTTTTGTAAAATTTGGTAGTTTTTGATATTTTATAGAAAATATTTCTGTAATTTTTTTGTTAAACCAAACAATTTACAGAAATCTCTGGAAAACTTTTAATTACAAATTTGCTATTGTCAGATGTTTTGAGAAAAATTTTCTCAAAAAGTGTGCAACCAAACAGCCCCTAAGCTTGAGAAATTCTCTTCTGCAACTAGGGGTGTGCAACAGTCGGTTCGGTTCGGTTTTTACCAAAATTTAAACAACCGAACCGAACCGCCTATAATTCAAAACCGAACTGAACTGTTGCAAGTCGGTTCGGTACGGTTCGGTTCGGTTTGTTCGGTTCTAACTTCATCAAACTTCTTATCAAATAACAAACTGTGTTAAAGAAAAAAATGATATCAACAAAGTAGGAGATTATGAAGTATTAAATACTGATATAATGATATTATTTTCAACCCATAATGATTCAGAAAATGAGTTTAGGGTTTGAGTCTTTGACTCTTTGGGGAAGGATCGGGTGGGGTTTGAGATCAGAATGGGTAGTATTACACTATATTCGGTCGGTTCGGGTTGAAAAGTTTTCAAACCGACTCGAACCGCCCTGCTCATAAAATCGATTTTTTTGGATAGATTCGGGTCGGTTCGGTCGGTTTTTTCGGTTTGGACCGAACCATGCTCAGCCCTATCTGCAACCCAGATACGCTTTTAACATGTGACTTAATTATCATAAATTGTGCTGTTTCAATCTTTATTCTACACGCTCACTAGAGGTGAGCACGGCTAGGTGCAAACCGATTAAACCGTTCGAGCGGTTCGGTTCGGTTTTAGAAAAACTTCAGTTAGGTTCTAAAATATTTAAAACTAGAATAATCTAAACGATCACTCTTAACATAATTGCCTGAAACTTGTGCTCATTCAAGGTTGAATAGATAATTTATACTAATATTTCTGAGATTTTCTTGCACAAAAACCACCTTTAAATGGGCCACCTTTCAAATTTAATTTATACAGAAACCACTTTTAAAGCGAGTTTTGGTTGCAATCAACAACTTGGATCTATTTTCTAATTAAATTTTGATTGAAATTCCCCAAATGCCCTTTAAAAAATACACCAAAAAGTATGTCAGATTTGGTGAATAATACATGTCACATGTATTTTTAAGGGTATTTTAGAGATTTCAATGGAGATTTCTTCGAAAAGTTGATCAACGTGGTCGATTATAACTAGAAACCTCTTTAAGATAGTTTACGTATAAATTGAACTTGAAATGCAGTTTTTGTATGTTCACCCTGTAGTGGTTTTTGTAAAGGAAATAATGGGTATGAAATGACATCTCATTTTACTAAATAAGCTATTTAAAAATATCCATGTGATGAGACCAACCTTATAAATCACAACAAAAGTGTAGACTTCACCACTCTATCTCTTGGTAGCTCATTTTGTTAAATGAGTCGACACCATATCACCATCATTCCCTTTTGTGAAAAAAACCAATATTATCATGTACCTTAATTGACAAATATTTGATTTTAATTTGTAAAGTTAGTGATTTGATGAGTTTTCTCTTCAATTTGTAAGGGTGATAGTCTTGTCTTTTAGCTAATAAGTTTCTAACTTTATATGTCCAAGCCCAAATCAAACAGGCCACCGTACTAAATCGATTTGACACGGTTCGGTTTGATTTTTGATCCTAGTTCGGTTCGGTTAGATAAGAAATAGTCAAAACCAACCGAATGTTCACCCTAACTCACACAAATCCAATGTTGATTTTGCCGCGCATATACAATCTGGTGGCTATTCCACCGCCAAACCTATACCTAGAACTCAGAGGAGGTACTTTCAACCAAGCCAATCACAGCACAATACAGGCGAGTTCATAAGCTGCTAAGTTAACACTTAACACGTACTCTAGAAAAGAAAAGAATACAGTGGCTTCCAGCCAGAAACCACAAATGGCGGCCGAAACCCACATGAGTTCCACACCATTAGATTACAACCCCCCCCGCCCCCCCCCCCGCTGCCTCTGACAAATCCAATCGCCGACTGTACTGCACCTACAATATGAAAAGATTCGACAATTATGTATGCATGGCAGAGCCATTTACTAAGAGATCAGCCTCTACTTCAGAGAGGAAGCCGTTTTCAAAGAATGCTGAATGGAGAGCTCGGACGCATTTCCTTGCTTCGCTATCGTGAACCACTAATGAAATGTTGACCTGTTGTTAACGAGAGTAAACCGACGCTTATAAGTTCCAAGAGAATAAGGATGGAAAGCCACTTAAATAAATTAGAGTTATTTGCGGATAGACCCCTTGTGGTATTGCTGTCCAGG